TTATATTTGTAAAACAACAGAACCAACAAAATAGTCAAGGCTCAGACAGGCCTTTCATCAGACATCTCATAGTTGACCATGGCTGTCATCTCTTTGTATCAGTTTAATGAATTTGCTCAAACAGCTTTGTTGTTGTTCTGTAAAGCTCAGGGTCTATTACTCTAGCTGTAATATATGGCATGTCGCATGTCTGATTTGCTGATTCTGGCCTTGTTTCTACTGCGTAAGCAGTTCTTATATGCAGTGTTTTGTTTCAGAATTGTTTTCTTGCTGATTTGTCTACTGTTCTCAGCATGTGAGGCTGCAGACCACAAAAAACATGAAAGCCACACAATGAAAACATCAGCACATCCAGTATAAATCCATTTAGAGTGTAGTTGTTTGACCAAAAAAAGCAGAGAGTTGTTCAACTTCTTATTGTTTTTCCTTCTTCTTTCCAGAAACCTCCGTGAAGCCTGAGGGTCCTGCATCTTCCTCCACCCAGGCTGCAGAGCGACCCCAGCCTCCAGCCAAGCCTCCCCAGGACAGGACCTCTACTGTACAGAAGGCAGCTCAGGAGAAGCCCCGGCCTGCATCCCGGCCGACAATGGCAATCCAGGCAAAGCCGGGCCGCAAGAGTTCCACCACGTCCCCTGCAAGTAGTCCTACCCTTCCAAACCCAGTGCCCAGGAAAGCCAGCTCAGCCCTGCCTCCTGCTCCTAAAACTGCCCGCGCTCTACCCCCATCCCTCTACCCCTCCACCTATGGGAAGGTCCTGACTGTGGATCTGTACAGCGAGCCCAACCTCAGCTCATACAACAACCAGCGCAGAGAAAGAGAAAATTCCAGCAGTGTCAGTCCCACCACCAACAGACCGATGTCCAGGCCCAATATAGCATCATCATCTACTGCACCCAAGCAAAGTGCTTCGTCCACACCAAGACCCACTTCTGCTTCCACACCCAAAACCAAGCCCTCCTCGGACCATCACAGCAGCTCCAGACCTAGCCTCAGCTCTGGGCTCATACCCAGCCCCCACCTCCAGGCTGTCAACAGGCAAGCCTGGCTCTTCACTGACTCCCAGACCTTCATCATCATTGTCTTCATTATCTTCATCATCTGCCCTCAGACCCAAACTGAAGATGCCATCCGACCAGCTATCCTCCAGCCCCAGACCCAGCCCCATCTCCAGACCCAAGTCCAGCTCAGGGCAAAAATGACATGGGCTCGCTTGTGAGGCGCAAGCCACTGTCTGCGGAGCCCCTTGTGAAGCTCGACCATGAAGGTGTCACCTCCCCCAAGACCAAGAAGACCAAGGCTCTGATGTTGCTGGAGGGTCGGGGGGTCAGACGGGACCACACCCCCATAACCACAACCACAGCCACAGCCAATCAGAAACTGCTAAAGGCTAAACTGAGAGCTCCAGATAGAGAAACCGGCCTGCCAGAGAAAGACTCCACTACAAAGTGCCAACGCTGGCTAAAGAGAAAGCAGATAGTCGTGGAGGTGCTGGTAGAGGACAGGAGATGGACAGCAGAGAGGAAAGGGGTAAAAAAGAGGAGAGAAAGGAAGCGGAGAAAAGAGAGGAGAGAAAGATGAAAGAGGAATCTCAGAGTAGCAGCAGCTCAGAGTCGGAGGAAGAAGGGGAGAAAGGGAAGAAGAAGTGCAAAAAGAAGAAATGCACCTCAAGTTGCTCTTCTTCCTCTTCATCCTGCTCTGGTTCATCCTCATCTTCTTCATCATCATCATCTTCGTCATCCTCTTCGTCCACTGATGACTCCTCCTGCAGCTCAGACGAAGAGAGGACCCTTACGCCCCCACCAGGCCCTGCCTCTCCTCCTCCGACAAAGGACAAACCAAAAGAAGAAACGAAAGAAGAAGAAGTGAAGAAGGAGGCGGAGGTAAAAGTGGAGGAAGAAGAGCTTTCTCCTCCCTCCCAATCTCCCTCACCTTCAACCTCTCCTACTCCTGCTGCTCCTGCTCCAACTAAACCCGCTAAACCAGCCACCGGGAAAGGGTCCGGGCAAAGGGGTCGTCCTCCGAAACCAAAGCCCGGCGGAGGAGAGGGGAAGGTGGGGAGACCAAAGCGGAGAGAGGGGGTCCATCTCCCTACAACCAAGGAGCTGGCTAAACGTCAGAGGCTTCCCAGTGTGGAGAACAGGCCCAAGATTTCTGCTTTCCTTCCAGCCAGACAGCTCTGGAAGTGGTTTGGGAAACCCACACAGGTGAGGAGACAAGTTTATACAGTAGATAGAAAACTTCATTATCATATTTTGAGAAATGGCTAGAGTTTTTGTCCGAATGTCTGTCCTTTCACTCTGTGACCAGCTCTGTCCTCTTCTGACCCCCACCTCCAGAGACGCGGTATGAAGGGCAAAGCTAAGAAGCTCTTCTATAAGGCTATTGTGCGTGGCCGAGAGATGATCCGCATCGGTGACTGTGCTGTGTTCCTGTCTGCCGGCCGGCCCAACCTGCCGTTCATCGGCCGCATACAGAGCATGTGGGAGTCGTGGGGCAGCAACATGGTGGTCAGAGTTAACTGGTTCTATCATCCAGAAGAGACAAATCCCGGCAAGAAACTACCGACAAGAAGGTAGGAGTTAGAAACCACTTCTGAAGAAAAGAGTGCTCCCTAGAGCAGTAGCGCTCTGGTTGTCATTGTAAAGAAACAAAACTTTGCATCCTGATGAATCGCTATCTGAGAATTTAGATTTGTCATCCAGTAAAAGATAATTTTGTTCTTTGAATTATTTTGTCTGAATAACTGCAGGTCTTATTCACAGTGTTTTGACACGTATTTCCTTTCAAGAAGAAATGTAAAGAAAATAAATGTAATTCATGAAAGGAGAATAATTTAGTTCAATCTCATAACTAATAGAACCATCCTCCAACCAACCTCCTTCTTCTTTCCTCAAGCTCAATTATGACTTTTTTAATAATGTATGTGTGATTCATTCATAACCGCTAAGTAAAAGAAAAATGTTTGTGTGGGATTAGTTTCGAAGCTTTTTGCTAAGACTTCTTTCCTCTCCAGAACTGGGATCAGATGTGTGGTCAGTCTTTACCAGCAGCTCTGCATTCTTCTATCCAGAGAAAAGACTTCATGGAGGTGAGAAAAAATTTATTATTTCACCTGTGTTTTGAGCTTCAAAATCCCCAGTGATTTTATTATGACTATAAAGTAGAGCTTGGACAATATGGAGCCCCAAAACTGACTAAATGTTAAAAATATAACTGAATACATAATTAAATAATCATATTAGTAAAAAAAAACATTCAACTGAGTGTAAAAGAAAATATAAAGCTTTATACTTTTACTTTAACTGCCAATAAACTGGTTTAAAAAAGCATTTTGTTGTTTTCATTTAATCAGTTGATGAAATAAATCAAAACTTTATTTAACTTTTCGTTTCTCTTTCACTAGATCAATTTATAGCTAAACATATTGAGCACTAGACTTTTCAGCTAGCTACTTAGCTGAAGCTAGCTTAACGGCCTAAACAAGTAATGTTATTCATCCATATCTTGTACTCCATACTGATGTAACACCACTCTATAAACTCCTGTAACTGTAGCTAAAGCATTTTAGCCAGAAAGCTAACAATGCCAAAGTTAGCGAACTAACGGTACTTAGAGGTCTTTTGTTTAGTTTGTTTGACATTATGAGAAAAACGTTAAATTATACACATCTACAAAATGGCAAGAATGACACAATATAGTTCAAGACTTTTTCTGTTGTGGTCCTTAATGGAGAAAACATGCATAAAGATGTTATGAAGACCTAGCTCACTTTGTTGGTGTGCTGGCTGAAAAGCTTTAGCTGCTGGTAAAGCGTTTATATAGTAATGTTAGAGAATTTAGTGTGTATAAATGATGAAATGGCTAGTAGTTTTTTGAGTAAAGTTAGCTTCAGCTAGGTAGCTGACGTTAGCTGAAAAGGCAGAAGCAGTGTGTTAAGCCACCAGTTAAGCGCAATAGTCCTCTTAATGGCTCTACTAATGTTTAAATGGATTTTAACTCATTTTGGGTAAGGGGGGGGGATAAAAAAAAAAAAAAGTAGAATAAAAACCTCTGTCTCTGTCACAGCGCGCCCTCTACCAGTCGTCTCACAGCGACGAGAACGACGTACAGACAGTCAGCCACAAGTGCCTGGTGGTAAGCGTGGAGGAGTATGAGCAGATGACCCACACGCGCCGCTATGCTGACAGCGAAGACCTCTATTACCTGGCCGGCACCTATGAACCCACCACGGGCATGATCTTCAACACAGACGGAGTCCCAGTCCTCTGCTGAACATACACAGAAACTCACTACGAGTTGCTGAAACCAAATCTTGACCCGGCTTTCCTTCTTTGCAACTCACTGAGGAGTCAAACTCAACCCGTGGTCTTTCACAGTCTAATCACTGATCTTCATTCATGATGGATCTTTAACAGCCGTGACTCATTGAACTCAACCGCTCCAATACCATGATACACTTTAAACAGACTGTCATGAACAGCCACTACTACAGAGACAGGAGACACTAGACAGTATTATAAGGAACAAGTCTCCTGAAACCTTTGCACACACAGACTCTATTTCCACGTTATGTTGTGCTTATTGTGTTCATGGGAAAGCTTCAGAACACACAAGCACCTCAGTCTCCTTTTACATGTAAATAAACACGCTCACACGTGCACAGACACATGTAAATACCCACCTCCATGTAATACACACAGTTATATAGAGGAAATATGAGTGTTTTATTTTCTGTAATAGATTTATGTCAGAGTACTTTTTTCTAATGAGGTAAACAGTCGAAAAGCTTTAATGAACTGTGAATGATGATATGGGAGAGAGGCCCGCCTCTGTCCGTCGGACAGACAGACACACGCCGGTGATGTGACGTTGTGATTATGATGTTGCTGTGGTGATGTTACATGTTACAGTCATATAAATGTATCTACAGAACAGCAGGAGCGACAGATGCAAAAGAGAGAAAGAGACGCACAGAAAGAGAGAGATAGAGACTCCTTCCATTGCTGTCCAACAGAAGCACTTAACAAAAAAAAAACACTTAAAGTTTTATCCTTGTTTAATTTAACCCCTTCAATTCCCCTTGACAATCCTAACTCGGGCAGGCAAACCGTCTGTGTGCTACTAATACTTCTGACTCCCTCAGAGACTCAGGTTTAAAGAGAGAGGAAGGATTGTGTACTAATAAACGCACTTCCCATTTTCATCTTTGTGTTCCTTGTCTTGAAGGAAAAATCCACCCTGAAAACACTATGAAACAAAAACAAGCTGCTGTTGATGTATTTTGTTGTTTGCACTGAGGTCAGACAACAACAGGGGGAGAAACAGATACTAGAGGAGGCAGACTCCAGTTTCTCCACCTTATAGAAGAAACCTCAATAGAGACCCAGCACAGCTACGAGATTTTGGGTCGGGGATGTTCAGAAGCATTCTGGGAAACATAGGTTTGTTTTTCTTTTGGTAAGTAAAATGGGTAACTATGGGTAAGCTACAACACTTCTAGTAACTCCATGAATGCGCTGAACAAGGTGAGCAAATGTATTAATGGTGTAGGAGTCCCAGAGGGTGGATTTTTTCTTCTTTTTTTTTTTCTTAAGGCGTTTTTAGGGTTGTAAACATGGCAATCAGTCCATGATGCATCAAGGTCAAGGCACTGATAGTCAGCATGAAGCTGCCAGCACTGATTAGATTACGAACATAATTCAGTTTTGACAGTCATCTTCCACAGTTTGGCTTCGTTCATTTTGGCTGCAGGGTTTCCAACCTCTGAATGTCCTGTGTTCGATGTATTTTCTTTTTCTTTTGCTTCTGGTGTTTTATGGGTGTCTATCTTACCCCAGTTTGATCACATTTCACCCTTTCCGAGCAATCTTCTTTGACATGAGTGCACTTTGAATGAGCTCCGCTGCAGAGGAGAGACTGACTTGGGAGTCTTGTATGTTTTCCTTAGAGTATTTGCTAATGCCCCTCCCACCACTCTCGCGGCCTCTCCTCTGCATGATGCCCCTTCACCACAAACAAACACACGCCGCCACGTCCCTTTTTATTCTTTTCGGCTCTCTTAGCTGCTTATAATTTTTTTTCTACGTGCCTAGTTTTTCACCGTTGTTAGGGTGAGACTGTTGAATGTCGTGCTCAGGGTTGTGAGCGTTTGGGCGGTCTTACTCTCTCAGGCCTTATGATGATGATTTGCCAAATCTCGCTTAGGTCCCGCCACCCCTACTCCAACCACCGTCCTCAGCTCCTTTTGGTGCCCGAGGAGTAATCACATTGGTATATTCCACAGTCTGCTGACTCTGGGGAAACACCTTTCTTCTTTGTGATTTATAGTTTAAACAACCCTCCGTTCCTGAGCGCTTAACTCACTTAGCTACACTATTGTGTATAGAGTTTGTATCTATATACAGTATAGTATACTGTATATATAGTATATATCTGTGATTATCATGTTGATTTTCTTGTATGTTTCTTACCATGTTGCCCTCTTTCTGCTTTGCTGCAGAGATTGAAGATTGTCTTGTTGATATTCAATAGGTTTAATGTTTTCTACTCTTTGAGATCTTTTGGTTATGTCTGGATGTGTCTGATTTTATTATAGGATATGTCATATTTTTAACTCTCTCTGAGATGGCTTCGTGACGTCTGGATGACGGCCCAAGATGTTAATGTTGTTCATATGAGATTTTCCCCATAAATGACATGAAGACGTCTGCCAGTATAGTAGCATTTCAGTACACGTTCATATAAAATCCAGACATGACAGCCACCCAGTAAAGGAAAGAGTTTGATAATGTGCTGCTAGTCTATTAGTATTGAAAGTGGTGTAAAGCCAGGTACGGAGTGACTCTATATGCTGTTTTCTGAGATTACTCAATCAGTTGATGCCAGAAAATCTTATCTGCTAAAGCCCCACCTGCTCCCCATGCTGCTGCTCTTATGTGTGCTCCCCTCAGGGCTGAAACCTGATCGAACATATCTGCCCAAAACTCCCATTTTCTGCTGACAAAAGTGTAAAAGTTTTGAGTGACAGTTTGCCAAAATGGATCTCCGACTGGTATCTCAGCCGTGGGAGTGTAATGGGTACACAGGTCGCAGCGGTGTTTGCAGAGTGAACAAGTGAACGTGCCCGTTATGAATGTTTGTTTACCCCTGGAGCTGCTAAAGCACTTTTTGCTGTGTGTGTGTGTGTGTGTGTGAGGGAGGGAGACTGATAAGACATCATACTCTTATCCCCTGGTATTAACACATACACACACACAAACACTTACACACCTTTGTAACCCTTTAAGGTGTGTGTTATTGCCTTCCAATCTCTATTTGCCCCCCTATCTCCATCCAAAGCTCAGCCTTAGGTCTTCAAACAGGGTCCAGCACACACACACACACACACTTATTGCCCACATCGCCTTCATTTTCTTTTGGTGTCATATGTTTTAAGAGCCTGACTTTGTATGTGTTCTTTGATCACCGTTAATGTTTTACTTTGCCTTGTCTCATGTTTTTGCTGTGATTTGTTTTTAGAACTCTTTTGCATGTTTCCGTCATGTTTTTCTTTTTCATCCCTTGCTTCCCCTCTCTGAACAATCGTCCACGCCTCTCAAGCAATACTGCTGACAGGCACTGGGAGCTAGCTGCTAGAGAGAGAGAGAAAGAGAGAGCGCAAAAGAGAGAATGGGAGAGAGAGAGAGTGAGGTGGACTGGAGGCTGGTTCTTCGTCTGCTGTTCCTTCAGTATCGTCCTGTTACAGATTTAAAAAGAAAAAAAGATTATTTTGAAAGTGAACAGAAAAATCTTCTAAGTTTTGTAAATGCTCCTTCAGTGTCGAGGGAAAAAAAGAATATACTTTGTACACATGTCTTATCTTGTAAAAATGCAAAAAGAATACATTTTAGAGATAAATCTGAAACCAGATATATTCTGTCACCCTATAATATGTGTAAGGACTGTTTTTTTCCTCTTTTTTTTTTTTTTTACAGACAGCAACCACATTTATCAGTGTTTCTTTTAAATTGTTTTAGTAACTCAATATTTTATAGTTAATCAATAAACAGATGTAACTGTACTTTTGGTGTTCTGTGTGTCTCTGGCTTGAAAACCAAACCTCTTTCGTTTCTTTAAGCCTTTCTCTTTTCTGAATCTTTTGATGACATTCGTGTACCTTTTCCCTTTCATCACCCTCTTTGTTTGTTTTTCCACTTCAGTCATAAATTAGCAGAAACACAGTCTTGACTAATTTTGAATTTTAGTCAAGACAAGCTAACATGACACTTCGCCAAGTCAAAGGAAACATTTGCTTTGCTTTCTTGCTAATAATTAGATGTCAAGATTGATACCACTCTCTAATCTCTTAAGTTATAGCCAACAGCCGGTTAGCTTAGCTTAGCTGGTAGACTGGAGACAAGGGAAACCCTAGCCTGGCTTTGTACAAATTGAATAAACAAGATATAAGATGTTAATTTGTGAGCCTTAGAGCTGCTGGTAGGTGGATTTTATTTCATTTGGACAGCACAGCTACCCATCCCCCCCCCCTGCTTCCAGTCTTAGTGCTAAGCTAATGAGCTGCTAGCTCTAGCTTAATATTTACTGTACAGGCATGAGAATGTTGTCAATCTTCTCATCAGTCTCTGCCAGAAAGTGAATTAGCATATTTCCCAAAGTGTCAAACTAGTCTTTTCACTTAATAGTTCAAATTTAATATTCAGGTTATTCCACTCCTATGTTGTACTTTCTCCTCCATCACTTCATCTCCTGCAGTTTTCACTGCCACTAGAAGACGCAGCTCACTCACCTTAATTAGCTGCTCTCATGTTTTGTTCTTTTCCCTTTTGTTTTTGAGCCTGGGTTCAGTTTGTGTGGAGTGCCACTTTAATCAACAGTGGACTCCATCAGGCCTCCATTTTGGCAGCCCAGTGATGAAGCTGCTGGTTGTGATAAAATGGAGGAAAGTTCAGCTTCCTGTGCTGAGCTGCAGAGCTGACCACAGGAGACACATTTTCCACCACTGACCGTTCATGACACTGCCCTCAAAGTGCTGGCAAAGGTGTGTGTGGCTTTTGAATTCCTGTGTGTCCATGTGTAATTAAATCTTTGCTGACATGAACTGCGTGTGTGTTCCTGTTTCATGGTGAGAGCTGCAGTCAGGGGTTCGGCCGCCTCTCCGTTTCCCCCAAAGGACCAACATCAGCATAACATCAGAACCTCCCAGGAGCTCTCTCTCTCTCTCTCTCTCTCTCTCTCTCTCTCTCTCTCTCTCTCTCTCTCTCTCTCTCTCTCTCTCTCTCTCTCTCTCTCTCTCTCTCTCTCTCACACACACTCACACACACACACACTCACACACACACACACTCACTGTACACCAGCACAGAAAGGGTATCCACACACTGGCACAGACATACACACACTCTCTCCATCCTACCTTAGCAGCGCCCTACACACCCTCCTGTGGGAGTGTCAGCATGCAGAGTTCTGATTGGCCAGCATCATATGAACAAAGGCATTCTATTGGCTGAGACTTCATTGCAGCCTAAACACAGGGAGCAGAGGGAGCCGAAGTGTGTGTGTGTACGTGTGTACGTGTGCATGTGCATGCAACTCTGTATATGTGAGTGTTTGCACTCCATTACTGTTGAATCCCTCCACCTCTCTTTCTTTCTTTACCCCTCAGCTCTTCCAGGCAGCTGTGTGTGTCTGTGTGTGTGTGAGCGAGCGAGTGAGTGAGTGGGTCGCATACACCAGTTTCCCAGGAGACAGGTATCTAAGTGAGGGGGCGTTCAAACGCACACTGAGCACAAACAGTTTGAATGGGTTGTTATGCAGACAGCAGACTGTGTCCTCAGACTCGTCCTTCAACTCTGCTTTGTCAAGAGGAGTTTTGTGTATTAATTTCTATACTTTGTTCTCCTTTCATTCTTTCTTTCAATTCAAATGAACTTTACTGGCATGAATGTAACAACAAAATTGCCAAAGCATCATATATACAACATACATCTTTCTCTCTGTCTGTTGTTCTTTCTCTCTCACATTTGTCCCACTGTATTTTCTTCTCCTGGTTTATGCAGGCTGAAATCAGGAGGTCTAAAAGGGATGTCACATACAGGACTTTTTGCAGTCTGAGCATCAGCCTGGCCCCTCTGCTTCATGGCAACAAAAACAAGAAACTAAAAACATGTTTTGGGAAACTTGTTTGTTCTTGTGTAGAATAAGCTGATAAGATCATTACCACTCTCATTTCTATTTAATCAATATTTTTATAATAACAATGGATCAAATGATGACATATGATATTGTAAGTGGTCGCTCGGACTGATGAACCCACTGAGAATTATCACTTCTGCAGTGTCTCTCAGCTCTACAGAGCTTTTTAACATCTTTAAGCTCCTTGTTTGTTTTTTCCCGGCTGCAATTTTACGGTTTTGGTTCACTCTCGCAGCTCTCAGGAAGTCAGTATTGGCCGCAACAGTCAGGCAATTTTCAGTTAAAAAAAAGCTGCAGGAATCCACTGTCACCTAACCTAAGCAGCATTTAGCAGCTAAAGAGCCAGATATTTCCCTCTGTGGTTTGTGGAGACCAATAATAGTGCTAAAAGAGAGTGAATATTGGTGATGGAAACAGCTCTGTTCAAAAATACAGCAACCAGGACTTGTACAGCTCAGTGATGAACACGATTCACCTCATTCGTTTTAGTCTTCGCTCATGAGCTCTGAAAACAAAGGAATGTCATCTTTTAACCCCTCATCACAGGTTGCCTTGTGTGCACTTTAACCAACAAGGGATTTATTTTTGGTTAAATGTATTTAATTGAATCTACTGAAGTATCCATTGAGGCCTGCAGAGACATAACGGTCCAGATAAAGGGAGATACAAAAGATTAGAGGAAAGTCAGGGGAAAAAATTTTCATGTGGCAGAAATATATTTTCTTCTTTACTATACAGTTGTTGACCTCATGAACCCAGGTCTGAGGGTATTAGGAAATAGGATATCTTGCCATATTAGTTTCCACCCTCTGCACATTTGTGTGATGTGTGTGTTCCTTTTTTTCTCTGGCTTTTGATCTCTCCCTCACTCTTTCCCCTCACCATGTCTCTTGTGATACATTTCAATGTGAAATGATGACTGAGCCTTACAAATATTAGTTCAGAGTGCGATCCCACATGTAAGTGTATGTGTGTGCGTGTGTGTGCGTGTGTGTGTATGTGATGTACTGCATATCAATTAGCTATCTATTATTCATGCTGACAACATAATGAATGAAACATCACAGTCTTTGAATTTCAGGCATGTTTACTTGTCTCTCTCACACACAGCTGCTGTTGTGTGTATTTAGACAGGAGTGACAGTGTGAATTAAATCCCATTGTAGCTGCGAAGACGAGGTGATGCCTACTGAATACCTGACAGCTGAATGCAGCTCAAGACCATCAGCTCCTCCTAATGAAGGAGGAAGGGCATCATTCAGGACAAGGGGGACATGGTTTAGTCTCTAAACGCTCTCAACAGTGTCCTCTGACTGTCCGGCCACCAAAATCCAGATAAGAGAAGAGTTGATTCAAATGTTGGTATTATGGTTTGCCTCCATTTGTTAAAATGTGCTCTTTGTGGACTTTTTGCCTCTCAGGCTTCATAGGGCATCCCTTACTCTTAAGATTGGTGGAGGTTTTCAGTACCATGACAGCAAGTTCTGCAGACACTACTCAGGGTTAAAAACAATACGATAGAAAAAACATTTTAAGTATATTTCAGCAGTACAAAATTGGATTTGTTACTATATACAGTAGGGTATAGTGTTCGCATAGTTTAGTTTTTAGAGAAAGAGAGAGGTTTCTATGCAAGAAAAAGCTATAATAAAACAGAGGTTTACCCAAAACACCACCAGGCAAACTACAACTTATGGGCTATGCAATCTATGATTTTTCCATAAAACTATTTTATGCCATATAAATGTATAATTTAAAAGAAAACAGTATGTGAATTGTGCAGTTATAACATAACACAACCACAAGCCAAACCGAACTAAGCAGCTAAACCAAGAGAGCCAAATCCAGTTAAAGTTAGATGGAGAGAGCCTTTGGCTATAGTTAAATATACTTACTTTTCTTCCGCAGCTGCTTCCTGCAATTGAAATATATCAACCAACATCTCTGTGATTTAGTTTGTCAACCCACATAAATAAGGAAGTATCTAAATGCAGTAATGGCGATAAAAATCAGCTGAACTAGTCCTGCTAAAAAGGTAACTAGCCTAGCAGAGTAGCAGTAGCTGATATCTCAGCTTTTGACTCTAGTGGAACTCAGTCTGATTTGGTTATTTCTTTTAAATCACATATTTATATGTATTAAATTACATGTTACATTATTACATTCATTTCAAAGTCATTACAAATGACATTTGGAAAGCTGAAAAAAACAAATTGGTATTGTGTTTTCTCATTGTAGTCCATGAAGTCTTTGCAAAGGCTGCAAATGACTTTCTGTTATAAAAAAAACTAGGTCTAAAAACAAATACGAAAATGAGGCATTACATCCTACATCTATTCCAATTTACACAGTCAGGCTGAAACCATTAAAGCTTTTTTCTCAGCTTCAGCTTCTTTTGAAGCCTTGTCTCTGCTTTTGTAGAGTAGTACAGTCTAGTTGCATACTGTAGTGATGTGCACACTGTTGTCCTTTTCTCATACAGTCTGAATGACAATATTACATTTCCACTGTAAAGAGCTGACTTACATTGTAAAGCTGCAACAACATCCTGCTATGGGACTGACAGACTTTTTTATGCTCATGCCAGTAAAGTCTATTTGAAGTGAAACACATTTTAAACAGGAAAAAGAGGGCAGAGGCGAGAAATCTTCTCCGGCTCAAGGCTGCCACCTGCAGGAGAGGGCCGACGCTCACCACCCAGGAAGTTTTCTGTCATATTTCATTTTTATGTTTTGTTATACAGGGACAGACTGTTTTTATCGTCCTCTATCCATTCTACTTATGAGACGTGTCTGTGCATAGTGTCACTTATCAGGATGCCTCTGTCTGTTCTTCTGGCCAATCCCCTGTTCTCTGGTTGCCTCTCTTT